TAGAAGTAAATGTTGGTAGCTCGGGATGTTCATTTGTTAGACGTACTGTTCTCTGAGCTTGGCAATTAATTTGTAAACGTTCGTCACCAGTCGAGGTGACATCGTCAACGCGTCAGTGCGTAGTGCTGTGTAGTATAGCGATGCCCAGGTAATTGTGAACCGGGTTTTTATAGGTCATCATCATCGGCCGTTTGGGCATGTGACATTTGAAAATGGCCTCTTCGACCCGTATCTCGTGACCACAGCCCGTTTGTCTCGGCCGCTGAGTGTTGCTTGAGCTGTTTGTATGGTATCCTTTTTCAATGAGGTTATTCGACTACGGTGGTAGTCGTTTGCTCGTAGATGACGTCCAACTCGAGGTGCCGATTGAAGGAATTCTCCATGCATTGCTATGCTTCTAAGAATTCGCTTGTCTGTTTCGTATTTCCATGTGCTAGAATCTATGTTTTCCGGGTCATACTGATGAGCAGCTTCATCCTCGTGTATCGAAACCAATGAATAGGGGTCATGCCTCCTTATGGCCTTCGTATGTTCCGTGAACGGGGTGGAAAGCTTTCTTCCAGTTTGTCCGATGCAGTGTTTATCACATTCGCTGTAGTTTATCCAGTAGATTACATGGGTTTGATACCCTCGTTTGATTTTGTCCTTCGGTCTTGAAAGCAACCCACCCAGTGTAGCAATTAATCTGTGTGCTACGGTGACTTTATGTCAATGAAATAATCATGCCGTTAGTTCAGAAACGTTCTTGATGTAGGGAAGCGCTACCCGTTTATTTGCCTCTTCTGACCGATGCTGGGAAATTATCCTAATCAGGCTTCTAATAAAGTTTCGTGGATACCCGTTGTTTGGTAACATGCGGTATACGTGGTTCTCCTTCTTCCTCAATTTCACTGTGCTGCATCGCGTTTCCGATCTTTCGAATAGACCTTGGATATAGCACTTTCTGTGGTTTATCGGGTGGTTACTGGGCTAATGCAATATTTGATCCGTATGCGTCTTAGTCCGAGTTACAGAAGTTTTGAATGTTCCGTCAGTGTTCCTGTGAACGAAGACATCTAGAAATGGCAATTTGTTGCCTTCCTCCAATTCGATGGTGAACTTGGCGTCCTCATATGTATGGTTGATCAAATCGTGTGTATACTGTACCGAATTTCATGTTAATATAACAAATGTATCGTCAACGTATCGGATCCTAAGCCTTGGGTTGAACAGTGGTGGCATGGCAGTGCGCTCCAATGTTTGCATTACGGCTTCGGCAATGAGCCCTTATATGGGTGACCCCGTGGGCGCTCCTTACAGTTGTTGGTATATTTGTCGATCAAGGAAAAATAGGTAGCCATGCATAGGTCCAACAGTTCCCCCGCACTTTCCGGTTTCAAGTTATGTTTAGTTGGTCCTGGAGTAGTTCCATCATGGTCCCCTTGGCAAATTCATGGTTGATCGATGTGAATAGAGCAGGGACATCAAATGACAGTATAAATTCATCGTCCCCTATCTTGATACCACCCAATTTGTCAAGGAACTGTTTAACGTTGCTTATGATTTGCTCAGATCCAGCTATCAGGGGTTTTAAATTCCTCTGCAGATTCTTTGCTAGCCTATATGACGCTGTTGCTGGTAGCGAGACGATTGGTTGAAGTTGGGACCAGCCCTTGTGTACCTTCGGTAGCCCGTAGAATTGTGTGATATTGACATGGTCAACTTTCATCTTCCATCGTTCTTGGTTGGTGATTTCATTTGTCCATTGCAGCTTTTTTTAGGGTTGCGTTGATTCGAGTGACTAATTTTGAGCTCGGGTCCTGCCTGATCGATGTGGCGATAAGTAGTTGTGTCAGATAGGAGTTGTTTGGATCTTCCAATGTAATCCAGTTTATCCACCACCACCGTCATGCGAACTTTGTCCGCTGGAAGGATTATGACATTTTCTTCTCTCCGAGCACTTCTTGTTCTTTTTTGTAAAGAGCTTGTGTAACTTGGTTTGGGGAGATCATTGGAACGATTGTTTGGCTAATTTTCTGTTGAGCTTGTTCAAATTGCTGATTTATGCTTGTTTCTCGTATTGTTAACTCGACGCTGAATTGCGGATTCAAGTTCTGGGTATTTCTCGGGACCAAGGACATCGAGACAATTAGTTCTATTATTGTTGCTGGCTTTTCATACTTGCGGAGGCGACTGTGGGCATCCGGGAATTCGTGTTGAACACAGATTCAGCAAAGCAAAGGTGAACAATTGCGAAGAAATTACTTTTCGATAAATCTCGTCAGGCGTGTACAATTATGAAGCAGATAACCAAAACTTACAAAAATGCTATTACTAGCTATGCACAAATAAAAGGATGTCAGATGATAGGTGGAATAGTAAAATTGGGATCATATTATATACACCAATCAATATCAGATTCAAACAAGTCACGATAGACCGGTGGCCTTAAAATCGGCTAACTGCGCGAGGGCCAGGGCAGAATTAGCGTAACGAAAATTTGTAGCCCAGAGAGGATAGAAGCAGAGAAAGACTTCATGCATAGGACTCTACAGAGAAACGGTTACCCTACTGCGTTTGTCAAGCACTCCGTGGTCCGTGACATTCCTGAATCTGTGCTCAAAGTCAGAAGGAAAGAGGTCTTTCTTTCTGTTCCCCTCAAAGGGGATTTCCCCTTTGAGCTAGTTACCAGAAGACTGTATCCTGCGCTAAACTAGACGTAGCCGGCTGCTCGTGTTCACGTCCTTGCCGAGACATCTCCTCTCACCAGGCAACCTCTGAAAGATAGACTACCGATTGAGTCCGAATCCACTGTACTATGTCAGTTCACCTGCACCTGTGAAACTAGGTACATCGGACACACCACCAGACGTCCATCAAAACGTACAGCAGAGCACTGCCTGCTTCCTTACAGCATGGGATTTAGATGAGTATCCATAGTTCTACCTGTGAGCACCTGATCAAAACTGGACATCAATGCCGTGTTAAGGACTCATTTACAGTTCTCCTAGTTGCGGCCAAGCGATACTCATAGGGACTCAAATGGCGCTTCCTGACTATAGCTGAGGCTCTTGCTGTCAGACATCAACAGCCGGAATTGTGCGAGCAGAGAGCTATCGTGCAACCGCTAATTCTGCCCTGGTCCTCGCGCAATTAGCTGGCTTCATGGCCACCGGTCCATCGTGAGTTGTATGAATCTGATATTGATTGGTGTACATAATAAAATGCCAATTCTACTGTTCCACCTAGCATCTGACATCCTTTTATTTGTACATAGCTAGCAATAGCTTTTTTGCAAGTTCTGGTTATCTGCTTCATAATTGTACGCACCTGACAAGATTTAACGAAAAAATTTCTTCGCAATGGTTTGCTATATGTCTGAATGGGCATAATTTATGAGTTAAAACAAAAGTGTAGGAGCCACAAAAAGCAGAAAGAATCATTCTACGATTCGTGATCGAAGCACGAATCAGAATAACTGGTGCTTCAGGGATAAACACCTATATTTCAGACAACAAAACAAAGGTATGTTTAATAACCATAACTAATATAGCCGAGAAAAAATCCGATAAAACCAAGTGGACTAGTATGCGACATGTTTGCCAGAAATCGGTTAGTTCGTGGTTTGAATGGCAATCAAGCGGAAGAGTGATCTTGCAAGGGAAACCGGTCGAAAGATGGAGCGATGAGACGCATCCATGGTGATACACTCAGGGAAACGTGGGTGCTGATCATGCGTATAAGCAGCGCACATAAATTACAAGATTATTGCAGTCAGTGATCATCCTTATTCACTCATCAACGTTGACACATTGGTAAGCTGATCGTTCACAGTCATGAGAACTTGGCAGTTGACGATGACGGGCTGTGATAATTACGAATAAAAAATAACTTCGTATTGATCTTGGGGGATGAGATAAGGTGCATAGTGGGTGAGCGCAATAGTCAGATGATGAGGTTCAAAACTGCTGTCCACAGGGCCTAGTGCCCAGGTGGATGGTAGATGCTTGACGATGACAATAGTCGGGCTAGCTTACACATGGGCTAGGTATGCTCGGTCGTCAAATACCTAAGACGGCTATGTTTTGCTTGTCAGACGTAGATGGTATAAGGACCGAGTTGGGTAAATATTGACTTGGGAGCGGAAATTGAAGCCGTTAAGGACTACATTGAGCGCCATTGATCCATCCTGCCTTCCGGGCTGGAGCTCATGTGACGCAGCTGGTGCTTGGTGCAAAAATTCCTAGAACTTAGCCCCGTTGCTGTCACCATCTTGTGGAACTTCCAACCAAAAGTCCGGTTGACGCCGAAGTATTAGCTGCAGGTTACTGGCTAATTATGACACGGAGCAGTGAAATCCGCTAGGAAGTTGTTTCGCCGATGCCGCAGCTGTTAGCGACCGTAGGTTGCTAACAAGATGTAGGCGCCTTACTTCAAAATGTTCGCATTGGGCAGTTGAGTGTTGCGATAAGTCATCCTTCTTCCCCTCTTACAATTCTTCATTCCCTAGGTTGTTCCGGCTGCATGGTAGAAAAGTAGCAATTCACACTACTGATGTTGAAGATGGCGATGAAGCCAATTCATCGCGACAAAAGCATTGTGGGTACCAGCAGTAGACCCGCAGTCTGTGTCGAGACTTGGCCACAAGGCAACTGCAAAAATTGTGCGCGGCTTCGGATACTGGTACGACAGCCAAGCTCTTGCTGGAGTTGGAATAGGAACCTGCGATGCAACTGTTGCAGACTGGAAAACCTGAAGCCCTGCACCACAGATTCCCTAACACAAGTACCGACAAGACTGAAGGATTACTAGGAGCAAGAGGAAGATGTTGTTAGAGGATAGAAAAGCAGATCACATGAGGAGAGTGAAGATTCAAGGTAGGAGCCGCAAGCTTGATAGAAAGCTGAAAGCATAATGGATGAGCGAGCATAAATCGGTAAGGAGGATAAGGAAACGAACAATTATTTGACCAAGGCTACGAGCAACAATGGAACTGAAAAGCTAGATTTATGGAGAATTACCATCGCAGGACTGTGATCCCAAGTGGTAGCCAACGGAGCCAGATGGCAATTTAAGGCACTGCTCAGCATGGTGCTGGTAAATAATGTCTCATCACGAGTGGAGGATGGCTGTGCAGCAGTGTCATCCATCAAAGCGCTTACAGAAGGGGAAGATGAGGGTCGAAAACAGAGATCATCACGACTGGAGGAGCAGGCTAGACCAAAGTATTCATTCGACTCGTCGGTATACACTTGGGGCGAACTGAGTTTTGATGAGGAAACCGGATGAGGGGAGTCGATTTTTGGTACCCGATCATCACAACTCATTTTAGGCGAACAAGACACCGGCGGACATTCGACAAAGCTAGACAGAATGCCACAGCTAGTCTCATGCTGGCCCTCTTCTGCAGACGGGGAGTTGACATTCGTATTTGAGACCTGGAAAAGTGAAAGGAAAAAGAAAGTGTAAACAAACGAAATATTCACCATCATCAGTCGCAGGCGTGTAGATAAAAATTAAACAAGAACGACGGATTAACTTAGAAAGATAATGATATGGTGAGGGGACAGAAGTATCAGAAGGGAGAAAGGGGTTGCCTAATTCAATCGCGGGGAGGCTCCAGTGAAACAACCAGAAAGATGCTCAAATCCGTTGTAAAAACGTGAGAAGCCTAGCCCTTTGGCTAAGAAGACATGAGTAGGGAATTATCGGATGGAGAGCAAAAAATGACTAAGGTGATCCAAGATCGGACATCATCTAGAACATCACGCCTCATTGAGAAATTTGACCATACAAAAGAACCATTCAGAGAACACAAAAGTATTGGTTTAAGTGATGGGTAATTCGCCACCACATTGGTTCCTCCTCAAGCTGAGTTGCAGCGTACACGTGGAACAAAGGGTTTATGCGACAATCACGGGAGCAAGATAACTTTAAATGAGAGAAGGTCAAGCAGAGAAGCAAGCGGGTAGTGCGCAATTATTGGGGGAGCGGATTTAGATACGCAGACACACATAGTTGGATACGCACATCCAGAAACCGGGATGAAAGACATTGCAAAGTTTATCGATCGATTCAGTTTAATTGACTGTGTCAAATTATTATGTGAAACGAACGAGAGACATTGTACTTAGAGTGCAGGGTCATGAGCGTAGTCGAGTAAAGGAGGTATAGGTTTTTAGCTGAACAGTGCATCGAGTTCCTACCGAGAGAGTACACCTGCTAGCGGAGGATGTGTCCAGCTAGAGGTTGTCATAACGGTCACGCAAACCAGTTGGTACGGCTCACAGAGCGAGTTATGGTTCATGGTACCTACTACAGAGGACTGTGTAAAAAAAGCTAGTGAATAGCAAAAGGTGGGCGAATTGCACCTGAGTGATAGAACCAATATGGTTAATCAGTAAGGGGCAGCAGTGAGCAAATCTCTGTCATCGAGAACAGGCTGTTTTCAGATTGTGATTGTAGGCTAATTGGTTTGGAATCAGCGACTATGAAGCCAGCGATATTTTGAAAAATAGAAACACACTTTAAATTATTGTTAGACCGTGAATAAACAACACAGTTTGGTGTCAGGACAAATGTTACAAAACATTCAAATGTGGTATTGCTCAGAGATAAAGGGCACGGTGGAATTAAAGTGCGCGAAGGAAGTTAGGAAGCGCGTCAGAAGCTGGGCTGAGTTAAGGTTCAATAGGAGAACCAGAAGGCAGAATGAAAAACCCCGCAAATGCAAAAGATGACTTCACGAATGAATTGCAACGACCATAAGCGACTGTGACAAGGGAAATGAGTAAAGTATTGTACCGTGAGTCAGTAAGACACAATGAGACGATCTGAGCTGAAATAGGAACATGCTACTGAGGCTTATGAGCTGCGACATTATAGTGTAAAGGGGAGAAAACACGTTTCAGCTCATTCGTCACCGAAAAACAAACGATATTGCAGTGATGACTATTGATCTGAACACCCAAGTTGGAAAACTCTCCACTGATGAGCTGCATCTGGGTGCCCAACACGGTGTAGGCTTCCGCAGGGAGAAATGTGAGCGGCTGCAACACCTGTGTGAAGATGCTCATCTATTTCTCACGGGCACTAACTACAGACACAGTCCTCGTCTGAGGGTGACACGAGGCCCACTAGCTCCGTACCAGCCATGGACGCAAATCCATTACATCGCGATCAGTTATCGCCAAAGAGAGTGCGTCTAAAATTTTCGCTCGATTTGGAGCACATGTGTGGACACTGCACTTGTATGTGCAGATCTGCGAGTGATTTGGAGGACGCCCGCGACGACGCCGTGAGCGCATAAACACTCACCAATGGCAAAGCCGGATGTTCAGAACAAATGTCAAAGTAGGCTACCATCCGAACTGAGTAAGCGCTCACTGAACCCAATCGACAGCCGCTGGTCACAAACTCACTAGAACTTATTGGAGCAAGTATGTCTTCGTGCGGTAAATCTGATTGCCAACCTGGACGTTGGGTATCCACCCACTTTTTGCAACCTGTGGATGCTCGCCGACGCATAGTACCCAGGAACGAACGCGAGAGTCGCAAAAATCTGAGAGCAAAATTGCGTGTTAACCTGAAAAGAGACCGCGAAACCTGGTGGTCTCATCGAGTACCGGAAATGGAAAAAAACCCGCTGCATTTGGTAAGCGTCTGAACCAAACAGCAAGAGGCCTGTTGTCAGCGAGACTATACGCGACGAGAGTGGACAGTTTATCCAGAGTGCAAAAGCGCTTGATGCATTCAGCTGAGCATTCTGAAAAGTAATTTAATTGGTCTAAACTACCAGATTTGCTACCGGCCGTTCACAGCCCTATTTCTTGCGCCGTCCCTTTAGATCCGCCCTTTCGCTCAGAATTCGAACGTGGGATCAGACTGTGGAAATTGGGTAAGGCCGCAGCACTAGGTGGGCTTCCTCCAGCCGTTTGAGAATTCGTGAGAGAGGCGCTTGTGGTCAGTTCGCACATAATAGGAAAACAAAAAAGCTAATCTTTTAAAGTTCCGATTTTCTAGGTCGGAATGAGGTAATCATGGAGGTATCAGGTTGATCTCTTTCGACACCAGATTACTTGTCTCTATTATCCACCAATGACTGACTTGCACCCTTGAAGAGCAAGCCGCGTCTCGTCGAAATTGAGACTGAATTAATCACATCTGCACTTTATACCAATTGTTAGAGCACCGCCACGTATAGCGGCGAGACAGCGTAGTTGTGCTGCTCGACATCAAGGGTGCTTTCAGTTGGGTGGGTCAATGTGCCTTTGGGACTGTTTGTTCAGGAAAGGTGTACCCGAGAAATATGTAATGTCATAAAAGCGTTGTATGCGCGTAATTCGGGCAGAGTGAGGGCTTGCGGTAGACTATCGCCAGCGGTGTGAATCAAGGCTGTGCGCTGTCACCTTTCTCTATTGACGAAGTCACAGAGACTGCGTCCACTGGGCACCATCTACAACGTGTGTAACTGCGCCCAGGTGATCGACTTCTTGACTTGGAATATGCAGCTGATAGTGTACTCATGTCACAGATCACAAACGCGCCAAGCTGCACCAGACAGATTAGCACTGGCTTTGTACCCTCGAAATGCAAAACCCCCCTCCAAGTCTGACAGTACTCACACCTGCGCTGACCCTTGGTAGGGATCAGATAGAAGTCGTCCAGAAATTCAAGTACCTGCGCCGCCATGTTAGCACCTGCTGAACAGAAGATAAGATCATCAACCGCATAACAAAAGCTTGAGGCGCTTTTGCTAGTCTTCACCACTTGTTGCTCCGACGCGACATCACTCTCGCTCTGAAGGGCAGAGTTTACAAGACAACCGTGCGTTTAACCCTACTGTACGATTGTGTAACTTGGTCCATCAGATGGATAGAAATAGATAGGCTGATTACGCTCGCTGCCTGACATACATTTGGTAATGGCACCATGTGAGCAATCGGGGAGTACAGCGTCGCGCATTTGGTACAGCAAGAGTGAGTGAATCGCTCAGCACCGTCATATTTTACGCACCAGGCTAAAATGTCAGCACAACGGATTCCCACGATGTGCGTTGGTTGCGCGCCGGAGTTGAGGATGAAAACAGAGGAGAGAAGGTCAAGTGATGACTATATCAAGGAGAATTAAAACACTCACTACAAATGTAGCGTCGGTTGTTGTCTCCCAACTAACAGGCTGGGGTCCCAAATATGACGAACACGTTTGGTTGGACACACTTGTTGGCTTGGTGAAGAGCCGAACACAATGGAGTTTGTTGTTTCTTTGTCCCTCCCTCCACACTTTAGCTTCCATATGCAAACACGATCCCCTCCTCGATGCATAAGGTTACTCGTCTTTTGGTTTTTAGTGTGTATTCCTGTGATTCCAATCCTCAGGTGCGCTATGAGCATGACGTGGTTTTTGCAGTCTGATTGACAGACTGCACGACGTGAATGAGGGCGGGCTGAATGTGAAACAACTCGCCGGTCTCGGAAACAGAACCGAGGGCAAAAATCGATCTATGAGGGTGACTTTTGTTGAAGAAGCACGTCATAAGTGGATATTGTCCCGTCTTAGTAGGCTGAAACGTCTAAAGATCCACGTGGGCAGGCATGCGCAACATATGGCCTAGCCATCCGAGCCTGGTACGTGAAATAAGAAGAGGCACGCAAGCTGCTGGTAAGTCTTGACGGGAGGAAGCCTGCCAGGCCAGATGGGATCCACGCACTGATCCTCAAGTCCCTATCGGCCATCATCTCGCTTTCTGTAACTGAGCTATTCAATAGGTCATTATCCACTGGTTTATTACCGGATGACTGGAAATGTTCGGTCGTAATACCGATACAGAAAGATGGTGACCCAAGCAAAGTGGATAACTACCTGCCGATCTGACTGACCGCTGTTTTGGCAAAGACGCTTGAGAGGATCGTGTAAAATGGTCTTCTGCATCACATCGAGTCGAAAAGCCTCATGACGCCCACACAGCATGGCTTCATGAAAGGTCGCTCGTGCATCACCAATCTACTGTTGACGAGGCACGAATGGTTACAAGCGCTGAACCAAGGCAAATCGGTCGATGTCATTTACATTGACTTCAGTAAGGCTTTTGACAAGGTGAATTATGAACTGCCATTCGACAGGCTGAGGGTGTGCGGTATTGGTGGCTCTCTGCACCAATGGATCAGGAATTTCCTTGTTGATCGGAAGTGGAGGGTCCAGGTGGACAACCATTTAACCGACTGGTATCCATCGAGCAGTGGCGTGCCCCAAGGTACTGTACTGAAGCCCATTTTGTTTCTGATCCATGTAAACCATGCGCCTCAGCTTCTTCGTTCACCTAGTGCGTTGTTCGCAGATGATTTAAAGGTGTGGAGAGTGATCCACACACGCAATGATTATGACTTGCTTTAGCAGGACCTCGACCGCCTCTCGATGTGGTCTGCAGAGCTCAACCTTC